TAGTGCCTGATTCCTTTTTTAATTGCAATGGTGTAAGCAGAGAAATAGTATACTGACTAACTTCTATACTGGCTTATTAAGAATTTCACTTTATTTCACCTTACTACAATATGTCCTATTAATTTCCAGTAAAATATGCTATTTTTGAAGTAATTTCATATTATAAAATCATCTAGAAATTTTGTTATTATTTTAAAGGCCTTTTTTTTTTTCCACATGAGCAGAACTAAGATGTGAATACTGGTTTTTGAAAGCAATTAGCTAGCTAATCAGCTGGCATTTAAAAATAAAGCCCTCTGACCTTACAATCTGTATGGACTAGGCCTGAGTTTTGGAATAACAAACGCTGTATTAACAAACCTCCATGTACATTAACAAGAGAAAATGTACAGTCCTATCTGCACCAACAAGAATGTTTGCAATGTTTACTTTGCTTTCTGTTTACAGAACCATTGAATTATATTCTATGGCTAGCCAGTTGAAGCACTGAAATTAACCTTGAATTGCTCAAAAGTAGCCTGCATAGGAGGTCTGTGGGCTGATCAGTCTGCACATGTTTCTCATTCAGGCAACAGACCAAAGCATTGTTCTGCGCAAAAGAAAGCCTATGACATCTTTTGCTGGTGAAAGCTAGCAGACATGAAAGAGGGGACATCAGGATATTCTAGGAGATTGTTTGAAGAAAATAAGAGTATTATACAGAATGAGGGTGAGAGGAGAGGGGGAGTTACTGTGAAGAAGAGAGGGTTAGGAAGTCATGACACACATCATTGGAGACCACTGTTCAGAAAGCAACTCTTTTTCAGTTGAAACTAAGATTTGAATACAAGTATGCATCTTTTTTTTTCCCCTAAAATGTAAACAATCCTCATTATAGCACCTAATGTGCTCAGGACACAGAAGCTAACATTTCCTTCCACTTACTACAAACACGGAACCTCTAGATAGAGAAATAAACAACAGTGTTGTGGCCAGACAGTATGCTAAAGAAAGAATTCAGAGGTCAAGATTTCAGCTGATTTCTGACATCAGCTCGATCTAAGTTTGTAGTTTCTATCCCAATAGAAAGCTTTATGGAGATAACCTGTGGCCTCTTTCCTAGCCTGCAATCCACTTATGCTTTAGCAGAGGTTTCCTTTTGTACCTTTAACTTCATAAAGATCTGCCAGTACTCAGTCTTTTCAGTGAGAGCCTTTACTACCGTTATATCTTTTCTTTGGTTGAACAGCTGGTTTTTTTTTTCCCTATTGCTATGGTGTCCTCCAGGTCTACTGCTCAAAGACAAGGGATTTGGAGAATACCAGTAGTATTGTTACCAGTGAGTCCCAGATACAGAAACTGTCCCAGTGGGACCCCAATCCAGGAGAAAGATTCACATTCTGAGTTGAAAGAGCCTCACAACAGGCTGTATGGTACAGATTTCACAGGTCATTAAGTCATTAAATAAATAAATAAATAACAGGAAAAATAAGGGATACCTTCTTAAAAAAAGCATATTTAGTCAAATTAAACTGTGCAACAAATTTAACTTTCTTTTGCCTTATGCATTGCCTTTTTAATGTAGCATAGGTGCAATAAATAACACGTAATGGACACGGAAGAAATCCATTGGCTTACTTTATATTCCAAAATTCTTTATAAAAGAAATATGCCTATACTTAGAAGAAAATCTGTGTTTAACTTTAAGATGTAGGGGACAAAAACAAAAAACAGGAGAGTGCTTTGTTTGGTTTGTGCTCCAGCAGGTGTAAAGACAAGATTGCCAAGGCGGCTTAATAATAACACAAGCCCTAGTGACAGAATTTTTGCCGTCAAAAAGCTATCATCTGCTTATGGAAAGGAGAAAGTACTGCCACAAGCATCTTCCTTTGAATAGGCAGGCTACCCTCTCTTTCGCCAAGACCAGCGGGAGAGCTCCTATAACCACACATTCACGGCTTTTCGACCTCCTCGACAGGTTACACAAGGGAAAAACTCTGCTCCTTTCCCAAAAGCTCATTTTCATAGAGCCAGGGCCAAGGGGATGGGAAAAGGATACATGCTAAAGCTTTTCCCCCAAAAGTTAAAGGTAACGCTTTACTCTTTAGGTCTGTTTTAACACTGTTTGTGAGGAACCTCTCACCTATAGTTTGAGGCAGTTTCAAAAAGTTTGCAAGTGGCCTATAATTTTGTAGAATATTATTAAGAAAGAACTTAAAGATTGTTGAGAGAATTGAATCTGAAGGTAGGAAAAGAACTGACTTGAAGGCCCAGACTGTGAACCCCAGTCTCATCTGGTGACTTGGTGGAAGAAAAGTGTTTTAATGAAAGTGAGATAAAGGATTTGTGGGGTCTTGTCCATTATGACCCTTTTTTCTCCCAGGTCTGCAAAATACGATATTCATTTTACTAAACCTATTTGTTCTTCCTGTACTTTTCTGAATGTTCCGTATTTAACACTTTACAAAAGAGTGATCTTTCTTTTAAAATTTTCAACTTGATTTAAATCTATTGAAGAAGATGATTCTCATAGAATTTCGCATGTGGAAAAAAGAGGTTAAAGGGTCGTTACTAGACATTGCCAACTAATTTATATAGCTAAAACTGCTGAAAAGGCCAGGAAAATTCTTTTTATTGATCCAATGTCTGATGTAAATGTTTGGAATGTAATGACAACTATATCACACCTCTACCCATAGCTGTAATGGTCAGTAGTACCAGCCTAGCCCTTTTTGCTTTGTTCCTGTGAATATTCCAGTTGAAGGTCCCTGTTCGGTGATCTCCTCACTTCCACCTGGAATTATGTTTGACATTGATCTCTGACTGGATGAGATTATTTGAGAGAATATACTATACTACCAGTGAAAGGGCAACAGCTGATAAGGAGAAGGGGGATGAATCTAGCATAGTGTCAATTCAAATAAATATTCTCATTTTTTGATCCAGAAAATGGTGACCAGAGGGAGGAGAGAAGAGGGAAACTTTTCTTCTCTTTCTTTTATTTTTCTTTTTTTTTTAATTTTTCCTCACTAGTTCATGTTTTTCTGTTTTGGACTTGTGCTGAAGAAGTAATATAATTTACTGATTGACAGCTGTTCTGTGTGGGTGATGGCTAAAGTGATATCGGTGTACCTTAGCTCTCTGTTATGAAGTTGTAAGGCTTGATTAAATCAGGTTTGCAAAGTATGAGTTGTTCTTGGAGATCCTGAAGTTAAAGGCGTGCTAGTGACAAAACTTAGTAATTATTGCCCATTTTTCTCTGACTAAATTATCTTCAGGACTGTATCCATAATTGGGAGTTTGGGGAATGCACGTATCACTGCTGCTAACAGTAGTATAACTCTGCTATTGATAGCTGTGCATTAACAAGATTCCTGTGGATACACGCATCATGTCATTTAGTCTAGGGTTAGGTAACATGTCAGTAAATCCCTAGTAGCCACAGCAGCTTAGCAGCTTTGTCCATTCTTTTTCATATCATATATTACCAAAGGCAAGTTGCACTGAACGGTGCAACAGTGATAGGAAAATAAGGAAAACATTACGAATTAGCTTCACTCATAGGCCATTTCTAGTGAGGGTATATAGATATTTTTCAGTCATCCTTGCATTCTATTTTTGGACAATTTGGTTTTATTTTCATCACCTTCCAAAGGACTGAGTAATCTGGTTTAGCACATGCCTGCCCTTACTGTCAGAATTTGGGAATTAAGATTGTCTTGTTTATGTTTCAGTTAAGCACCTCTTCACAGAGGAACCTTCAAAGAGGACATTTGAGTGAGAGCTGCTGCAGTGGTTTCATATTTCGTAAGGTTTTTCACTGGGCTGAAGGCAGCTGTGAAAAATTAACAAAAAACAACGCTTGCAGCTGCTTTTCCCTGAAGATTGCTTGAGATATATCCCAAGTTGGGGGGGAAGGGGGAAGCAATCTAGTGTTAAATTTCTTGTGGGTTAAGCAAAGGCAGATGGGTTTTAAGTCCCACTTTTCCAAGAAGCAGCAGGCCAGGCTGCTCCACATGGGTTGAGTGGCCAAGATGATGCCAGCACCAGGCATGGTGAGCAGGCAGTGCCCTCCGTGACGGGCATGGTCCCTTGTGCCTGAGCAGGGCCAGGGCCATGCAGCGTAACTGTTTAGCTTGACCCTAGTCATGAATTAATCACATTAATGTGGCTGTCCCTGAGTAAGGTATAAAACCGCATTTGGGGACAGGGCTGACTTCCAAATGTGGCTGCTGTCTGGAACATGAAATTCAGGATTTGGTAATCTAGTCCCCTCACACCACAGAGAATTTCCTGCTGGTATCAGCTGCCCATAAAGGGAGAATGCAATTCCTGAAATGACTTATTATGTAATTACTACCTCAGTGCCACGTTCAGGATCTGACAGTATCTGTGAAGAGTGTCTGTCTCTCTTCAGCCCATTGTTACACTACAGCTGTCCACTTTTTTCCTCTTTGTCTTCTCTGCAGTTATTTCTGTCCTTTTTCTTCTGAATTTCTTCCCTGTAGCCAATCCTAAATTATAACTTTTAAAGGTATGTAACTCATACCGCCTTTCTTCTTTCACCTGGAAAAAAAAATTATTAGCCTTAGAATAATTAATGCTACAGATATTGAAGCATTAGTGTTGGAATGATGTCCCAGGGAGAAAAGTAGAGGTGGAGAGTTCACAGTCCTGAAACAGTTTCATACTGTTTGCACCTAGAGGCAGGCATCCTGGTTTTGGTTTATACTTTGTTCACATCCATAACCTTCTTTGTTGCTGTAAGGCAAAAAAACCCTGGAGTCATGTTTGTTTTGTCCACCTAACCTATTCTTACACCCTATCTTGGTTCATACTAGGGTACAAATGCCCTAAGAGCATATCAATTAAACGGATATTTAGCTAAATTTGAATTCATGTTGGATTTGGGTCACACATTTGGAGTATTCGCAGGAATGGGTGACTATATTCAGAGCAATTTATGCACATCACTGTAATGTCAATGCTACTAACTCAGCACATTTCCTTCCACCACCCAGGGCCAGAATGAGCACAAGGTTGGAGTCGATGGGGAGGACTGAAGACAACTGCTGGGGTCAAGGTAATGCTGTTAGTCTATGTCCCTCATAGCAACATGTTTGAGTGTAGATATGAAGAGAAAGTATTCGGTTTAGGGCCCCTTTTTTCTCCAAAGCACTTATTTGTAAAGTGCTGCTACTCTTTGCTTTTCATCACAGTGATAAGTCTTGCCCCTAGTAACATCACTCACCATACAGTCACCATCTTATATCCATGCCATCCATTAGGTGAAATCCTATTGGATAAAAGAAATAAACCTGTTAAAGGAATAGATTTACTGTACGCCAGGACGATGAATTAGGAGGTCTCCAAACCCTCCAGTGTGTTCTATATTTCCTGGCCATTTAGCACATTCCTCACCCAACTTGTAAAGGCAAATTGAATCTAAAATAAAAATGGGATGCATAAATTCTTTAAAAAATGCTGAAATAACTTCCTCCTTCTGATTTTTCCTCCTTTCTTTTTCACTGGGTCCCTGTTAGATAATGCATTCAGTGAGAGTAGTTCATTATCCTGTGCTTTCCCTGCACTTCTATGTATGCAAAAAGAAGTATACATATATAAATGAATTCTTTCCAACGTATTAAAAAGCATTTTCTGGTTCTGGTAATACACTACAATTCCAGAGATATAGGTTCAGTTCCATGCACTTTGATGCACTTCCTATACGACCTTATGCAAAGTGACTTGGTGATGAATTTGACACAGTAGTCAGAATTCTTGAATAAAGCTAGATTTTCATAAAGTTTGGTTTACACAGTTGAGCTGCAGAATAAGGAATGAGGCATTTTCCAATTCCTTTGGTGCTGACCTGTTCTGAAAATAAGGCCATATATTTCACACAGCACACCAGCTAGGATCGTTCAGTGCAGCCGGCCACAGAATTTGGATTCTCAAAAATCTGACCCTAGGCTCTTGTGGCAAGGAGTCACCTATTATCTTTGCTCCTCAATTTGTCACTTGTAAGACTTTGATCTTTTAGCTAAATATTTGAGCTACGCATGGTACAATTCTCATTTGCTGTTATTACACGCTTTGTTAGCATAAAAAATCATAACCTAAGGAGTTCATACTTCTAAAGGAAAATGTGTAGTGCCATATCAATAGTTACCAACATATACATGCACTGTTGTAATTGCAAGATCAAATGTATGAATGAAAAATAGGTAAGGTCAAAACTGAACTAGCAGTGCAACTATTGCATGTATGTATATTTTATGGTAACGCACACAAAGAAAGAGGAATGTGAAAAGTGTTCACAGAAAAAGAATGGGAAATATTGTATATTCTGTATTGCCAGAGAAAACTTGACTTTTAGAGTTTGTTAACTCTTTTGTAGGGCTGGGAGAATTCATAATTGTATTTTTCTTTAAAATAAATTTATAACTAACATTGTGATTTCAATTAATCTCTACTACATTTTTTTTCATTAAGTGCACTTTCCAGAATTATTTTAATGAGCAAATTAATGGAAGTAATATTTTTTATGGTTCATTCAGTTTTGAAACCATCAAACGGGACTTCAGAGCTCTGGGGGTGGTGGTCAAGGGTCTGGGAGCCCAGATCATTTTCTCCTCAATCTTGCCTGTGAG